TCAGGTCCTGGCAAGTCTTGCAGGCCGTTGTCAGCCTTTGACTTTTCTTCTGAGAAAATGGGAGTCGTTGGAAGGTTTGGAGCCAGGAGTGATGTGATCTGACATGTTTGATCTGATACGTGTTGAGAACAACCTGTGCAGTCAAGGCAGGGACATGGGTCCAAAGGTCACTGCAGTAACAGAGGATGGTGACTTTGACCATGGGGTGGCTGTGGAGAGGGAGAAGTGGTTGGGTTCCGGATACCTTTTGGAGGTAGAGTCAGCAGAATTTCCTGACAGATTGCATGTGGTGTGTGAGCAAGAGAGGAGAGGCCAGGATGACCCCACGTATTTGGACAACAAGCAGGATGAAGTTGCCACCAACCAGTGTGGGTGAGATGAAGGAAGGGCAGGTTTGGGGAGCATCAGGAGTTCCGATTCGGACAGGTTATGTTTGCGACTTTAGATTTCTGAGTGGAGCTGTTGAGCAGGCATTGGACACACGAATCTGGAGAAACAATTCTACATATTCGTCTCATAGAGAATTGTGGTGAATTTTTAATCAACGGATTCATTAATGCTTAAAAAAATACAGATCATAATGGCATCTATCAGTCTTATCCCAGCAAAAGCCAAGAATAATTTTCTAAAATCCTATTCCAAGTAGAGCAACCCATCAAATTATAATAGGATTTGTTCTAAAAGTTTATTTGTAGGTTTGTTGTTTTTGGTACATCATTATATATTTTCCCAGAGAGATGATTTTATGACTCTTGGTTAAACTCTTGGGCCAAGTCTTGGAAGCGTATCTAATCTGTACAAGTCGCAGTGTATTTGCAACAAACAAACAAACGAACAGAGAAACAAACGAAAGCAACACTGCCAAGGTACTACCAATTAAACAAACACACAATGCTTAAAGATATAGGAACTTGGTGCTTTCCCATTTATGATTTGTGGGTAGAAATAGTCAGAATTCATCAACCAAACCTTCTCCCCCCACAATGACAAAGATCCCTCATTTTCCTGGACGTTCGGCTGAGGAAGGGAGATCCAAGAATCTTGCTTCCTGCAACAGAGCAGACGAGGGGAGGGGGCATGTTTGTATGCAAAGACCCTGGGGACTGATGCGCAAAGAACTCCCACAGACTGCAGCCCCACCATTAGAGCGATTTGGGGTAGCAAGCTCTGTGTTAAGCCTCTTTCATACTTTGATGGAATCGCTTTAGTCAGATCCAAAACTGGTAGGGCACTTGGGAATACACATTTTTATTGGGGCAGGATAAAGAAAAGGAATTGTTAGAATAAGAGGAAAGGATGGGCTCAGAAGGGGTCACTTGGGCCAGCAGCCAGCCTAGGGGTGGGGGGGCATTAAGTGTTTGAAGGGGCCCAGGAGAGGAGTAGAGAGCCAGCCTGGAAGGAGGAGAGGAAGCAGGAGGGGGGTTGAAGGCACAAAGACAGGCTTTGCTTAGGTTCTGGTGGCAGCTGCTGTGATATCAATAATCATTTTCATGGGTCGCCAGTGCTGGGGTTATGCTCTCAGGTCTAGTCTGAAAAACGACACGTTTCAGTCTTTCCTCACTTGGTCCAAGCTTTCCATTCTCGCCTCATCCAAGCTGGCTTCCCCATGTAAATTCCCCTCACTCAAACCCTACCTCAACCTTGTGGTAGGAAGGGAAGGGATAAAGTGGGGTATTGTATCACCCCTTTGTTATCTCCATTCTCCCTCCTCTTCCCCCTTTCCTGTGAGTGTGGTTAGCATGCGCTTATACAGGTCCCTGGTCATAGATCTTTGGGAATATCGAACCCAGTGCCACAGGGCTGTCACAGCTGTCTTTCTCCTTCTCATTCTTTCTGTATTAGTACTTAAATAAAATTAGGTTTAATATCTGTGTCCCCTCATAGGTCACAGATTCCATGAGGGCAGCCGTTATCCTGATGAGGTTCAGAACACACTACCCCAAAATATGGCACCATGGTACATTGACTATTTTAAGTTGAAGGAATTTGAGAACGAGTGCATGCAGGGAGGGCTCTCTGACTTCACCCTTCTCCGCTGAAGCAGGTCGTAAGACCCTGTGGCAGGGGAGAAAGTTTTCCTCAACCCTCTTAGGGTCCCTGGCTGGGTCTGAAAATTAAACTGACAAAGACAGATTAACAGCGGAAAAGCATACAGATTTATTTAATGTAAGTTTTAGGTGACACAGGAGCCTTCAAAAGGAAAGGAAGACCCCAAAGAAACAGACCTGTGTCCTTTTCTGCTGGGTTTGGTGAAGATGGACAGTCGTGGAGGAACAGGAGAGGTTAAGGAGGATGAGGCAAGTGCAATGCAGTGGGGGAGACTGAGCAAGGCCTGTTTGTTCCGAGTCCTCCCCTCCTCGCTCGGTCTTCAGAGGTAAGGAAGCGCCTTTCCTCTGGTGTACAGAGGGCACCTGTCACATGAGGATTTTATGACCTGTTTCAGGGGAGAAGGATGAGGGCAAGAGAAGGTCAGAGTGACCTTCTTCCTCCTCCCATTTTCTCACACTTCTACAGCTTAAAATAGTCAACGTGCCAAGGTGCCGTATTTGGGGTAGCATGTCCTGAACCCCATCAACCCTCATGTGAGAGGCGTCCTCCCTATACTGGGAGGAAGGGGGCATCCTGATCTCCAAAGACGGAGGGACACCGAGGGGAATCTGAACGAAGTCCTTGCTAAGTTGTCCCCCACTTACTATGCTTGGCTCATACTTGTTGTTCTATCACGTTTTCCCACCCTTCATCAAACCAAGCATAAAATCACTCAGGTTTAACCACTTTTGCGGGGCTTCATTTCCTTAGGAATGCTCTCATGTCAAGTAAAACTTACATTAAATAAATATGTGCTTCCCTCCTGCTGCTCTGTCTTTGCTGATCTCAGTTACAGGGGCCCACTGGAGAACCTCAGATGAGGGAGGAAGAGACTTTTTCTCTCTTACATTCCCAAGCTCACAGTTGTGTCCTGGGTGTGTAGGCACAGTGCATTGTGCAGAGTAGGTGCTCAGGAAGTACCTAATAAATGAGTGTGTGGACACGGGAGAATGAGGAGGAGGCTATAGACTTTTTGTGTGGATCCCTTAGAAAAACTTCTGGGCACTTTCAGTGGTTTTAGAGGTTGATGGCACTGGGTGGATATCAAGTCTAATTTCACTTAAAAATGTAAGGCTTTCCTGTTTCCTGATAAGGGCACCAGTAACAGTCCTCAGACTTAATCAGTCACCCCAGAGTTGTGGTGAACTGGAACTCATGGCCATAATATTTTACAACTCCTCTATTTCCCCACCTCTTGAATCTGGACTTGCCTCGACCAATAGAGTGTGGCAGAAGTGATGCTGAGTTGGTCCTGAGAGCCTAGGCCTTATGAGGCCAATAGCTTCTACTTTTACCCTCTTGGAGGCTGCAGCGTTTGTATAAGGAAGCTCAGGCTAGGCAACGGGATGATGGGAGGCCTCCTGCCTGCATGGTACTTAAACCCAAGAGACTAAATAAGGAATGAGGGTAGACGGGGGGAGAGGGCCAAGGCCAGTTCACCCATTGACACCAGAGAAAAGGCAAGATATTTGGGAACAGATGCAGGTGGACTGGTAGATGGGGTGGTGGGGCGAATTGAAAGATCTCTTCTAATTGCTTCTTTTTTTGCTGAGGAAGATTAGCCCTGAGCTAACATCTGTGCCAGTCCTCCTCTACTTTATATGTGGGACACTTCCACAGCATGGCTGGTGAGTGGAGTATGTCTGCACCCAGGATCCGAACCCGTGAACCCAGCCGCTGACGCGGAGAGCACTGAACTCGAACCACTCGGCCACGGGCTGGGCCCAACTAATTGCTATTTTTTATTAAGCAAGAAGTAAGAGTTGGCAGGCAGGCAGGGAGATGGTGTTGCAGTTTTGAGGAGAAGGAGGGTGTGACCAGCCATCCAAGTGAGGAGGTGAGTGATTTGACCAGGGAAATGTAGCACCAAAGGTCTCACCAAAGGTCATGTGCATGATCATTAAAATGAGTAATGTTCCATGCCGGTTTATTTTTCTCCAGCTACATTCACTTGCTCAGGAGCAGTTCCAGAGTAGGTGGAGAGTTGGGGTTTTCCTAGACAAGGAGAAAGGAGGGAGAGGGGGCCAAAGAAGTTGAGGGTATGCAAAAGAGTAGCTAAAATGATGGGACACGGAATCTATGCTGGGTAGGGAGAGAAGTGTGAGTAAGAGCAGGGGGAGAGGAAAAAGGCTGGAGTTTGTTGAAGGTGAAGAATGGCACAGGGAAGGGTGAGCTGGGATGATAGGAAGAGGTCAAGTGGGCTGCTTGAAACTGACACCCTGGAGGGCCCTGTTACTAGTGATTGACTGGCAAGGCCGACGGTGTGATCCTGGGATGGGTGGCTGCGTGGTTGGGTTAGAAACTGGGAGGCTGCATGGGCATTGCAGGAAGGTGATGTGGACACTGAAAAAACGTGGATTATGGATTGAGTCTACTGTATTGCTGGCTATTGATCCTAACGCCTAAACTTTTCCTTCAGAGCACTCACAACAGTTTGTGTTGGTCGAGTGATTATCTGACAGCAATCAGGACTGACAGTCTGTTCGCTTACTGGCTGAAATACAGCTGGCGCTCAAAAGGCAGAATGAATGAATGAATGCTATTCCAGCTATAAACAAATGCAATAAATTACGGCGCCAACGCGTTTTCACATGAACGAGAGAGCAAGGCTCCACAAGGGCGATGTTTCTGTCTGTTGTACTCCCTGCTGATTTTCTGCTGCTTACTCAGTGTCTGACACAATCAATACTTGTTGAGTGAACGACCGACCGACCTTCGCTACCCCACTGCGCCTGCGCTGGAAGCCCGCGGGTCTGGCGAGCCCGGGCGCTCTGCGCCTGCGTGGCGTCTCCTGCGCCGCGCCCTGCCTGGCTCTCGAGCCTGCATTGCCGCGTTAGGTTTGAGCCCTGCAGGCCCCTGTAGCCGCCGGGCTGTAGCGCGGCCCCGGCGTCCCTCGCGGTGTCTCCCGCCTCCCTCGGCGGGTTCTGTCGTCCGCTGGGGCCGGACCTGGGATGGCGGCTCAGAAGATCAATGAAGGGCTGGAGCACCTCGCCAAAGCCGAGAAGTAGTGAGTGAGACCCTCGCGCGGGCCTCCGTATGGCGCGGGCCGGCCGCGCCCTGGGGCGGCCGGGGCCGGAGGGCGGGCGCTGCGCCTCCGGAGCCGGGCTGTCCCTGCCTACCCGGGGTCGTCTCCCTTGCGCGTCCGGGGCTTTCGGGCTAAAACTGTCGCTAAAACTGTCGCAGCCTCGGCCCTCGGGGCTGCACGGTTCGCTGCGGCGGGGCCGTCCTGGGCAGTGTGGCCTGGTTAGAGCGTCCCCGGCCACTGCCCCCTGGATGCCGGTAGCACCTCTCCGTCCTGTCTGACAGCCAGAACTGTCCCCGGCGGCTCACAGCGCCCTGTCGAGAACCTCTGCTATGAAAGACTTCCTTGTGTTGGGGAGGGGGCTAGAGATTTACCCTGAACGCCCCTCGGCGACCCCTTGTCGTGTTGTGTTGTAGAGTTCCTGGGGGCAGAACTGCGCCCCCTTAGCCGTTCTATGCGTTTATTCTGCCAGCGTATGGTACGGTACGTAGTAGGCCGCCAACGAATATTTGCGGAACTGACTGATGCTGCCTTATCCATCCTTGGGACACTCGCCTCCTCGTCAGTTTCATTACTCCAACGAATTTTCATCTGTCAGTTATAGATAGTGAAAAGTCTACGTTGTGCTGTGTATTAGGTGCTTCACATACCTAATCTGAGGTCTTCGCAACTGTCCCGTAGAGATTCTCATTATACAGGAGAGGAATGAGGCTTGGGGAAGCCTCATAATGACTTGCCCAAGGCTGCGCAGTTGAAAGTTGGCAGAGCTAGTTTTCGAACAGCGGAAAAACTCAAGCTCTTTCTGTCGTGCCACATTATTTCCCAGGCAGTGTGTAAGGGGCGGGGGCTCTTTTGGTGCAGGAGGCGCCCACAGCAATCTTACTTTCTATTGGGAACAAACGGTAATACAAAAGTATTCTTAGAATAGTGTGTGTAGCAAAGACTAGTAAAGCTGTGTTAACAGTGCTTTGGTAACACAGAGGAAGGAGTTTATCCTACCTGGTGAAGTTTAGGAAGATTTGACAGAGGGGATTTCTGAGAAAGGCCTGGAAAATAATACATTTTTTAGGTGGAGGGAAATCCTGTGAGAGAGAATCTAGGCACAGGATGTGGTATATGCACAGGCCTCAGAGTGTGTTGGGGGACAGTGAACGCAGGGGAGCTGCAGTGCCACGGGATGAGCTAGAGCAGAGGGGTTGGGACCAGGATGTGAAGGGGCTGCCCCTCGCATGGCGGGGAGTCTCAGCTGTGCTAAGGATCAAATAACCACTGCAACCTGGTGAGACTGATTTTTGGCTGAAGAAATGTGGCAACGTGGAGAACGGACTAGGGGGGAGAGGAGAGTGAGGACTTGGGCATATTCAGTAAGCAAACATTTATGACATTGTCACCACGTGTCTGTATCAGCCACTGGGGTGACTGAGGTGACCAAAAGTGATCCCTTCCTCAAGAGCTTAGAATTCACAGGAGGGCACACAAGTAAACAGATGAATGAAAATAAGATATTAAACGCTAGAACAGAAGTATACAGTGGTTTCGGTGGAGATACAAAGTAAGGAAAAGTCAGTATCCCCAGGATGGAGGGATGGAAAAGGAGGGCAGAGCAGGAAAGGTGACTTTCCTGTGACAGGTTAGTAGGCTGTCAGGATGAGGGCCCGAATTAAAGTGACAATACAAGGGGCAGGATTGGGCAACATTTGTCAAATAGAATTGACAAGCTTTCATGGCTAGACTGGATGTGGAGGGAAATCCTGACTCCCAGGATTCTAACTCGGGATGGAGTGGAGGAGAGACCTTCTGTTGAGACAAGGGGTATAGACAAGTAAACACGGTGGGTGGGTAGGCCTAAGGGTAGGGAGGTGTTGGCTTGCGTGTGTTGTTTGAAGTGCCTCTAGATGGAGTTGTCAGTAGGTGGCAGGAAAAGTGGGCCAGGAGCTTAGGAGAGATGTGATTTTTCTGTTTTCTAATGCTAATGTAGCTCAATAATGCTGAGTAGTTTTGCAATTATAATTGATCCCCTCAAACAGATGGTGGTTTTGCGGTTTTTGGTCCTATGGAAATTGATCAAGCTGTTGGCCCCAAGAGAATTTCCTTATTGACTCTTTTGACAGAGTCAAAAGCGCTCACAGGTAGAGCCTTTAAAGCTAAATTAACCAGACTGCCTTCTCTCTTCCTGATTTGAGGTGCTGAGTTGACTCGGGATGATTTGCTATATTTTAAAATCTCTAGCTCTTTCCATGTGTAGCACATTAGACAATTGAATGATTGTATCTTGGTTTTGGTGGGATTTTAAAAATTATGTTAATATACAGAGTATAATGAGTACTTTGGGGTAGAGGTGGAGGAATAGAATTTTGCTTTATTGCCTGCTTCCTCAGTTTTGTGCATTAGAGTAGACAGGCTGCAATTTAAGGATTTTATTTTTCTGAGCAATAATATTCTTGGTAAGCTTGAAAAATTGCTTATAAATTTGAATCTAATAGCAGTGTATACACAAACATAATTGTTAAATAAATTTAATTGACAAAAAAATGTTCCTTAAAAGTTAGGGCGTTTGGGCAGTGCATACAACCCTCACAAATGAAGGGTGTACTTCAGAGGGCTCTTGGGGATTCCCTATCTCTCAGTTAAAGTGCTCCCCTGAGTCCTTTGAAGCTTACAGTGTTATATGTGAGCAGGCTTTCTCTAACTGATTTCAGATTTAGAGTTTAATATGGTGTTTAGCAATTCTTATGCACACCCAAGTTTGACAGTGACTGAGTTAGTTTAAACTAGAAGTCCGAAATTATTTTAAAATGAAAAAAGAACGCAGAAAGGACAAGTAAGATAAGGACTCAAAATTGATTGTCCTTTGGTTTGGCCTCTGGGAAGCTAATAGCGATCCTGGAAAGCAGCTTCTCTTGTTTTCATAATGTCCTTGTCTTTCTGGTTATCCTTCCTGTTCACTGGTGGCTAATTTGCAGCCTTTTTGTGACTCCCTCTGTTGTTCTTCTGAATGGTTGTATTCTGTAGTCTTTCTGGCCTCTTTTTACAGTTTCCCTAGGGGATCTTAACTGGGCTCTTGGCGTGGCATAATGCTGATGACTCCTCAGTTAATATCTCTATCCTCTCCTGAGCTTCAGTCTCATTGATGCTGTGCGTCATTGGGTCTCAAACATTAATGTGCCCTCAGGGCTTGTTACACCCTGGATTGCTGTGCCCCCACGAGCCCCCCCCCCCCCCCCCCCCCCCCCCCCCCCCCCCCCCCCCCCCCCCCCCCCCCCCCCCCCCCCCCCCAGTTTCTTGTTCTGTAGCTCTGGGGTGGGGGTCAACAATTTACATTTCTAGCACGCTTCCAGGTCATGCTGATTCTGCTAGTCTTTGGACCACACATTGAGAACGTGTGCTCTAATTGGATGTTACACAGGCATTTCAAAAGGAGAAAAACCACGTCTATGACAGTGGGAGGGAAAGTAATGAGGTTGTATTTAATTATAAGTAAGTTTGGGTGGAGGTGGGTGAGATGGGGACTTTGTACCTGATGTAATGTGCTACAAGGTCGCTACAAGCAGGGTTTCTGACTTATAAATGTGGTTGGTAACTTCTGTTAAATGTGTCTTCCTTTCATTTTAGCTTGAAAACTGGTTTTTTAAAATGGAAGCCAGATTATGACAGTGCTGCCTCTGAATATGGAAAAGCAGGTACGTGTGACCATAGCCCTTTCACTCCAATGTGTCATCTTAAAGTAGGTGATAACTTCATCTCAGCATAATGCTTACTCTTAATGCTTCCTATAAGATTTTAATTGTTTAAAATAAAAAAACCTACCCAGACCCTTGCATTTTTTCCACTTATTTTGACATGTGTTATGTGCTGAGTTGCAGATCCAGCTGCTGCTTCCTCTCCTGTGACAGCAGAGATGGGTGGAGTTGGTGGTGCACAGTGCAGGTTTTTAGCATTGTTCATATATTCTTGAACTTCAGTCAGTTGCATACTGCTTCCAGGAGTTTTGTCATATTTTTCTATTAAACTTCCTATTATTGAATAAAGATTTTTCTTTAACGTTTTTTTAAAACTTAACCTTATTCTAAGCAGAGCTGCAAATCATGTGTTTGTTTGGCACGTGTTTTTTTATAAGCCTCACTTTGAAATACTCTGATAAACATTCATTGAGCATTAAGCTATGTACATATTTTAATACATTTATCTGCATATAAGATAAAAATGATCTGAAATATGCAACAGAAAGGGAATTTACTAAATATTTAACATTTTAAATTATGGAATGATAGCTTTCAGCATATCTATGATTATTTTAGATATAAAGCCTAACATAATTTTGAGTTGTGTTTCAGCCATAGCCCTGATCACATTTGTTGGCCTAGTATAGAGATTACCTAGGTAATGTGCTTTTGGCAAACTTTAGTTTTAGTATGTCACCAAATAAAAAAGAAATCGGGTGAATTGAAACTAATCAGTATAATATAAGATTTATTTTCTGGATAATAGAAGGGATGACAACAAATGAGTCTTTAGCACTTTTATTTGAATTCTGAGTAAATTCTCTCCATTGCATTATGCAATTTATATCTCATATTTAAAAGGAAAATTATTAAAAGTTCAAAATGGTACAAGAACACTTTTGTAACTGAGGGTGCAACATTTTGCAAGTCTCCTCCATGAGGGAAATTGAACACAGATTTGTTTTATATGCATCTGAGACCATGAGCTGCTTTCAAAAATAAATATTTGGTCAGATTTTCACATTAAAGCATTCTTCGTTTATTTTCTTTAAGCGGTTATGCAAAATACGTTTAATCAGTAGAATAAATTTTTTACAAAATGTGGAAATCCAGGGATGAAATGAGTTTCAGTAGTTTATTTTCAACATTTTATTAAAGAGAATTTTAAGAGCATGCGTTTAACAAATAACGTTTCTTAAAATGGTATCCTTTTTTGCTTATTTGTAAGCAACTGTGGTAAGTTTTCCAAAATCTCTAAGATTGTAATTTAGGGCCACTCCTAATTGTTTTGCTCTCATGATGACATTTTTACAGTATATTTTAGCTCTTTGGACTCTGAGAGCTCTTTTTCACAGAGCCCTAAACAGCATGAAAGCTTTATTTTAAAAAAATGCATTGTTAATTTTTTTAGACATTTATTTAAAGATTGTGCCAAAAAGGAGAGTTTATTATAAAAATAATATATTTATTGGCCTTCAGTTTCTAAATAATTTAAAAGATGGAATAAGCTATAACTAAAGCACTGTCCTTATTGTTAAATGTAAAACTGGTGACATAAGATACTGTCTTTTGTGACAGATACTCTTTGGGAGTATTGGTTTGACTGATGCAATCTTAGTTTCTCAAAGCTTAGATGTTAGTGTTAGCAAGACTTGGTTTTGAGTGGAAGTAGCACTGATTAATTGCTAATAGTCTACAATTTAAAAAAAAAAAAGTTTTGGGGCCCGCCCGGTGGCACAAGTGGTTAAGTGCGTGCCCACCGCTTCGGCAGCCAAGGTTTTGCAGGTTCGGATCCCGGGCGCGCACTGACGCACCACTTGGTAAGCCATGCTGTGGCGGTGTCCCATATAAAGTAGAGGAAGATGGGCACTGATGTTAGATCAGGGCCACTTTTCCTCAAGAAAAAAGGGGAGGATTGGCATTGGAGGTTAGCTCAGGGCTAGTCCTCCTCACAAAAAAAAAAAACATTTGAGCAAATCAAAACAACACTAAGATACCACCTCACGCCCGTTAGAATGGCTATAATCACCAAGACAAAAAACAACAAATGTTGGAGAGGATGTGGAGAAACAGGAACTCTCATACACAGCTGGTGGGAATGCAAATTAGTGCAGCCTCTATGGAAAACGGTATAGAGATTCCTCAAAGAATTGAAAATAGAGATGCCCTATGATCCAGCCATCCCACTACTGGGAATCTATCCAACGCACCTGAAATCAACAATCCAAAGAGGCTTATGCACCCCTGTGTTCATTGCAGCATTATTCACCATAGCCAAGAAGTGGAAGCAACCTAAGTGTCCCTCGTCTGACGATTGGATTAAGAAAATGTGGTATATATATACAATGGAATACTACTCAGCCATAAAAAAAGACAAAATCGTCCCATTTGCAACAACATGGATGGGCCTGGAGCGTATTATGTTAAGTGAAATAAGCCAGAAAGAGAAAGACAAACACTGTGTGATCTCACTCATATGTGGCATATAAACCAACAGATGGACAGAGAAAACTGGACTGTGGTTACCAGGGGCAGTGGGGGTGGGGGGTGGGCACAAGGGGTGAAGGGAGTCATATATATGGTGATGGACAAACAAAAATGTACAACCCAAAATTTCACAATGTTAGAAACCATTAAAACATCAATAAAAAAATCAATAAAAAAAAAAAAATTTGAAAATATTTCTAAGTCATTGATAATCAAAAAAGTTTTAAGAAAATCACTTAGATAAAAGTAGTATTTTATAGTTTTATGAAACTTCCTAAGTATTTGATTAAAATAAGTATATTTTCTAATACTTCACACATGATGCAGATTTTGGTATGGATTCATTTGAAGATTTTTAGTGATGGAAATAGAAAGTCTGTTTTTTTTTTTTTGTTCTATTTCAGCTGTTGCTTTTAAAAATGCCAAACAGTTTGAGCAAGCAAAAGATGCCTGCCTGAGAGAAGCTGTTGCCCATGAGAATAACAGGGCGTATCTTTTTCAGCCTTAACAAAGGAATTCAGCAATTTGATGATTTTGACAGAAACTCATGATTTTTTCTTATAAATTTGCTACATGTGGAGTATAGTGCTATTCAGTTAGAAAATGATTAGAAAAATTCTGCATTTTTAAACTCTGAAGGAGCATTTATACGGACTTTTAGTCATGAGGTCCATACTGTTTTGCAGAGCTACATTTGAGAGTTTATTTCTACTATTTCTGGATGTTCTTGATGATGGTTTACTTGGGATGAAGTGAGGGAAGGATGAAGAAGTAGCACAGGTATTAGAAATGTATAAACTGCTATATAAGTATTTTTAAAATAGAGTCTTCTGTAGGTATTTCAAATAATATTTTTAAGTAATATAAAACAATAAATTTTCCTGAGGTATTTTAAAACTGATAGACTAAAAAAATGTTTATCTCACTTGCAAATTATGGTTATAATAACCTTGCATTTTTAGTAAAAGTCTTTAGATAATGCATAATGGAAGTAGCTTGAAAACCTATGTGATGTTTTGTCAGTGTTTTTGTGAATTATGTAGTTTTAAGAGACTTCAACAGGCATTAAATTATTTCTTTTTTACCTGTTTGTAGGATTTGTCTTTTGGAACCAACTGGGGCAGTGATTTAGTTAACATTGTTTTTTAAATAGTAGATCTTTAGAAACTGTTGATTTGCTTTTTTTCCTTAATTTTGACTTTGTTACATCCATTCAGTCTTTTTCATGCTGCCAAGTAAGTAAATATTCTCCATGTTTTCGTGTGCTTGCAGATTATTATGTTTTAAATGTTGCTATTTTTCCATAGGTAAGTAAATTTTTCCTAAGTTACAAATTCATAAATAGTGAATTATTTTGTATTGATTTAAATAAAATAGGCATTTCCATTTGTTTCAGTCTTCACTTGAACCTTAAAAATTATCACTCCTAACTAAGATATATAGTGTTTAAGTTAAATTCACCATAATATTTTTAGGACCATTTTGTTCAATAACCTATGAGAAAACAAGTAAGCTAGAATCTCTTTTTTCCCTCTTTATAGTCAATAGTGCCTGTGGAAAGAAACAGGAAGCTTTCTCCTGCTTTTGTGGGTCTTATTTATTTGTTTCAAAACTTGGCTTTAAGTTTCTCAAATAGAAAATCATCTCACCTCTCTGAGCTTTACTTAAGTTTGCATCTGCAAAATAAAATCCCTTTAACTTAGATATCTGTTGTTTACAACGCATTATTGCCCACGAAAATAAAAAGAAGGAAAAATGATGTCATGTGATAATGAAAGCCTTAAGTATTACATAGTGTGTGGGCCAGTTTTAATTGACATAATTTCTCATATCTGTGGTAGGAAGTTTCTCCTCCCCCTTATTTCATTAAGATCTCATCCAGGAAATTATGTTCTCTTTGCAGAGCTTATGAGCAAGCTGGCATGATGTTGAAGGTCAGTAATGTTGTGTCACAACTGTTCCGTAGGCAAAATGAATTAACTATAAGGTGTTAAGTAAATTTGTGTTGAAGTTGAAAAGTCTCCTTGCTGTAAGGCAAGAGATACTAAGATTTCTTGACCAAAGTAATGCTAATTGGACCTATAGGGTACCTTCTGCGTGTCTTAAGACAGAGAGTTTTAAAAGTGCAGTTTAAGAGACACCGTTGGAGGGAACTGGGAACACCAAGGTTGTAAGCTTTGTAACCACAAGAGAGTGGACTGCTAAACAAAGAGCTGTGTGGGAAGTTCCCTAATTTTGAGAACTTCAGGACATCTTAACGTAGTAAGAATTTACAATTGTATATTTTTTACTACCCATAGATTATAGAAGAGATTTTTGCTTGTTTTATAAATATCAGTTGACATTGAAGAGAACCTTAGACTTAAGCTATTGTTATTTAACTCTGATTCTCTTTGAATGGAATATTTTGGCTAATGTACTTAAGCTGCTTTTCATATTTCTGCTTCTTAAAAGCACGTTGAGAGTTAATATCCTGTTGTGGTAAGGCAGAACATGTTATTTTATGACACTGACTCTCAAAGTATGCCAAGTGGCATTGAAATAGAACATCTTCCTTTCCATTTTTATGTTCTCTGATATGGTAAAAGCTATTTTGAATTATTTATTATAAAGCTTTGTTTTAAGAACTTATACTTTAATAAAGCTTTTGTTTTTGATTTCTACTACTTTTATAATCTTAACTTACTGATTTTTTTAAGTGAATACATGCTGATTGTAGAACATTTTGAAACACTGGAAAGATTAAAGAATGTTAGTAATAACTGTTAACATATTTGGTTTTTTTCCTTCTAGTTATTTTTCTATACACATACATTTTCATGTAGATATATATATACACACACATCACTGAGATAATGCTCTACACACTTTATCTTACTGTTTACATTTAACCCTTTCATGCAGATTTTCTAATGTCATTTAAAAAATGCTGTCATAATATAGACCAGCGCTTTAAGAATTTTCATAGTCTTTGACCCAGGAGTTCCAATTCTGTGACTTTATCATAAAGAAATAGAGAGAGTGCAAAGATTTATGCATAAGGATTTTTATTGCCGTATTGTAAAGAAAAAATGGCAACTATATAAATATTTAATAATAGGAAAATATGACATTATGAGGCTTTATGATAAATTGTTATATAGCCATTTGTAATAAAGCTTTTCTGGCTGAAACATGCAACCAAATTGATATTTGGTGATGCAAGTCAGGTTATTGGCAGCAATTCCTCAGCAACTAGAATTTCTTTTATAGCTGAAGAAGGCAGCGTCTGCCCTGACCTTCTCCTGTCTCCGTGTCCCCTGAGAACTAGGAAGCTCCCAGTTGGCTCTTGTAGTCTTGGTGTACTTTGTTAGGATTGTTAGGTTACACTGTCTTAGTACAGAAATGCCAGAACGCTATAATATAATATATAATCCTCACAGTCTCAGTTTCTGTTCTAACAGCTGTGCTAAGACTTGGGTCTTCATCAAAAGTTATTATTCCAACATATTACCATTGCTCTAGTATCTGTTTAATTTGAGGATTTGAAAGGCACTGCGTTGAATGAAGGGAAAATAAACCTAATGGATAGGGAAAAAAGGGAAAAAGACAAAAGGAAATGCTTCTGGCAGGCTCTTGTGTTTAAATTAAATGCCTTTGGACAGTCCTTGGCAGCATTAGGAGTCCTGAACTGCATGGTCCACAGTTAACTCTGTGTGCTAAAATTTCCACCAGCTTGTCATACAGACCTTCATTTATCCCTCAACGAGGCTCAGGAAGTGACGGTTTGTGGATGGGGCATGGGAGAAGACACAGGGACTTGTTGGATCAGCCTCTGGTTCTTCATTTTACAGCTGTTATGATTTCATATCCTGTTTACTCCACAGAAACGAAGTGACTAAGGCACACAAGCCACTGCGAATAGGCATATTTTTATCTTCTTCTCCATGATTTTGCTGTACTAGAAGAACACGGTGAAGAGTATAAAATAGTGTGACTTTTAAGTAGGTAGCCCATCATTTCTTATGGAGGTGTCAGTATTGTGGTTGGGCCTCTGCTAGTCACAGTCACACTCGATTTGATGCAAAAGCAGGGAGATATACTTACTAGTTTTTGAATGTGTGACTTAGATGGTACTTATTTCATACTGCCATCTCCTGTACTTATTGCTCTGTGTCTTATTTATGAGGGTCAAATTCAGGAAGGATAGTACCTGTGTTAGACTTCTTTTTATCCCCCAAATGTTTTGCATGTTGTAGATGCTCAATATGTATTTGATCAGTTAACAGATAAGTCAATTGGGAGAAGAAATACTCTGTAAAGCCCAAGTGACCCTCAGGACTAAAGTGGGTGAAATGGATTTTGTTAGACTTCCCTCCCCTTCATATATCCTTCAGCATATACCCTAGAAGCTTGATTCTTTCGTTGACCTTTGGTTTCTACAGCAAAAAAAGAGTTTTTCACTGAGATTTGAAGATATGTTAACTGATATCATTCTACTTGAGTATGATAGCAACTTTATCTTGTATAGTTTTTTTCAGTCTGTTTTATTGTTATTTAGCTGCATAGCTAAATAATAAAAAAGTTATATTTTGAAGTTGATAAGAATGAGACCATCAGTTTTGTATCCTAAAGAATTTTTCAACTTAAAGACTGAACAGGCAGATTTGAAAACAACCCAAGAGATGTCAGCATGGAGCCTACTTTAAGATACACCATGTCAACCCCAAATAGATAATGCCGATAAACTTTATATCTAGCTTCTAAATGATTTTTTTTTTCAGTTTTTTAAAAAACGTTTTGATTTGGAGATATTAGATATAAGGACCACAGGATGCTGAGACTTGTGCTTTAATGGTAAGATAGAGAGTTACTCTGTGGATGGCACTCGGCGTGGAAGAGGGTCGAAAGCTCAGATCGACTCAGGGCGTAGGGGAATTAGAGGCAGTCTGGGTGTAGGGCAGTAGGGAGTGGGGAGAAATGCAACCACATCCATGCAGCGGCAGGCCTCGTCTGATGGGGACAGCTACTGCTCCGCCCAGCCCACTATTGCTACGTGGGAATGCACGCCTGCTGATGTCATAGCTTTTGACATTTTTTTAAAATAGGAAGCCATAAAACAACTTTTGTGAAAGTATCTGATTTAAAAATACTGAATGGTATTAAGCATGACGCACTTGGAAATGAGATACAGCCTCTGGCTACCAGTTTGCAACCTTTGGCGTAGGCCTTCCATATAGTAGGGACTCAGTAAATGTTCAAAGAATTGTAAACGGTTAGAAAACAGTAAAGAATAAGTGTTTTGGTTTCTCCTATTTGTATAGTTTCCCTAAAACTCTGTGAAGTCATGATGAACTGTGTGTGGAAGTTAACTGATACATTTTTGGTTTGACTAAGTGAAGCTTGATGAGGAGAGTAACCATGTGAAAGCATTTATTTTGAATGTATTTATTGTTGTATAAGGTTTTGAATTAGGGATAAAATAATTGAATTTTAGGTTGTTAACTCTGTATTTCTTAAGTGGATGCAGTTACTGATCCATGCTGTATCCTTTGCCTAAAGGAGATGCAGAAACTACCAGAGGCTGTTCAGCTGATTGAGAAAGCCAGCATGATGTACCTAGAGAACGGTACCCCTGACACAGCAGCCATGGCACTGGAGCGAGCTGGAAAGTGAGTGTGCAGAGCACAAGTCTTTGCCAAGAAGTCATGGCTTTTTGTTTTAATAAAGTCCTTTGAAAAACAAGTTTGCTATTTCTCATATAAGCCAAATTTTCTTGTCTAATTTAGGCTTATAGAAAATGTAGATCCAGAAAAGGCTGTACAGTTATATCAACAGACAGCTAATGTGTTTGAAGTAAGTTTGAATTTTATTTTTTTCTTTAAGTATACTTAGAATGATTAGGTTCACCGTATACAGGAAAACAGAAATGCAGTGGCTACTTTTTAAAACTTTTCACTGCTCACAACTGAACTCCATTTTTTCTGTTGGAGAGTAATGAAATGGATCAGCAGCTTTGGTGTGTTGCGCCCCTCTGCCCCCATCGAGTGCTGTTACTTTTTTATCAAATAATTGTTGTGGGCTAAAGAAGATTCTTACATTGAAGCAGCCAACACTCTCTTTTCTTTGATTCCCTCAGAATGAAGAGCGTTTACGACAGGCAGTTGAATTGCTAGGAAAAGCCTCCAGACTGCTAGTCCGAGGACGCCGGTGAGTTTTACAGGACTGTGTTCCTGTGTGTCCATGTACACCTTCAGTCCACATTTGCAAATTAAGTAATTTTGGGAATGGCTTGTTAATCTTTTGGTGTAAGCCATAGGCACAGCAGGTTACCCAGTAGAAAAATTGATGTCTACAAGACGGCACATTGAATTAAATATGAAAAGATCTGCTGTTTTTCTAAAGAGTAATATATTTGCCAAAATGTATCATGCATTGTGCTTTCATTGGTTAAGACCTGGGTCAGCATGAGAAAGCAGTTTTCTTGATCTGTTATTTGGTTAGATTATAATGTCTCTCTCTTGAGGAGAAATGTCTATATAGGCATAAATAATCGGATGCCCTAAATGCTCACCCGTGAAAACTGACAGGTTCTTGACAGCATACAGTGTCATTAAATAGGATATTTACTGTTTTATCCTTTAAAAGTATGACCTAAGGCACAAATAGCTGGACCCCAGAAACCTAGAATCCTGTTGGATTTTCCTTCTAGTTTTTTTTTTTTTTTTTTCCTGTGAGGAAGATCAGCCCTGAGCTAACATCCATGCTTATCCTCCTCTTTTTGCTGAGGAAGACCAGCTCTGAGCTAACATCTATTGCCAATCCTCCTCCTTTTTTTTTTTCCCCCAAATCCCCAGTAGATAGTTGTATGTCATAGTTGCACATCCTTCTAGTTGCTGTGTGTGGGATGCGGCCTCAGCATGGCTGGAGAAGCGGTGCATCGGTGCGCACCCAGCATTGAACCTGGGCCGCCAGTAGTGGAGCGCGCTCACTTAACTGCTAAGCCACGAGACCAGCCCTCGTTTTTTACTTTACCTTAATTTAAGCTTAGTAAACAATTTCTATCATTAATAAAATTCTGTTTGCCAGGACCTTGTTTAGTAACATTTAAGGTCAACACCCTTAGGAGACTATAAGTCTGAAGATAGATATCTTAATTGAAATTTGTCCCTAACTCTCCAGTGACAGAAAAGACCCAAGATATGTTTTGTCAAGGAATTGAAAAACAAATGACTGAAGAATCTATTGACCCTTTCTGAGACTGGATTAAGTTTTTTCTTCATGAAGGTGGCAGATTCTAAAATACAATTCAATCGGGTTTAGAGTAGCATCAAAATAAATTAATATAGAATTAATAACTATTAAACATTCTCATTTAGATATACTACTTTATAGGACTTTCTTTCATTGATTAGTTTTTTTGTTGGTTTAAATGGAATAGCATTTTTTTTTCATTGGCCCTGTGCTAACATCTGTTGCCAATCTTCCTCTTTTTCTTTTTTCTCCCCAAAGCCCCAGTACATAGTTGTGTATCATAATTGTAGAGTTGTAGCTCTTCTATGTGAGATGCCACCTCAGCATGGTTTGATGAGTGGTGAGTAGATCTGCGCCCAGGATCTGAGCTGGCAAACCCCGGGCCGCTGAAGTGGAACATGTGAACTTAACTGCTGTGCTGCTGGGCTGGCACCCTGGAATAGCATTTTTATTTTGTTTTCAAATTAGGGCTTTTGTATTAAACCGTGAGGCAAAATTTAATTTATAAATGAGCTTTGGGTCATTACCTTTATTCATCTTAATAATTGTGGCTTCCTAGAAATCAGAACGACTGAATGCTAACTCTGGCAGTTCCCAATTTATAAATGGTGGTCTAATAAGTTCCGTTTAGTCTCTGAAGTGGTTTCCCACAGAAGCAGAGCTGTTGGTGGGGTGGTCCCAGCTGTTGCAGAAGAGCTGAACTGTAAAGTGCTACCTAGCTTCTGACCTTGGTGAGCAGGCCCGGCACTCTGGAAACTGGAGCAGTGTCCTGCACTCTGCTGTTACAGGGCTCACAGTAGGCACCTTCTGGTTTGCTTTACCTCCTTTTCTCATCCATTCCCACCCCTAGTGATCCTCCTGTGATGTTCCCAGTGCCTTCCCAGAGGCCTAGGCCCCTCACTGAGGGCCCCGCTGAAGGCCTAAGAGGTGAGGTTGGAGAGGGGCAGAAGGTAAGGACAGCTCTGTGTGGGAGTCTGCTCCGCTCCAGCTTCCCTGGAGGATTGCAGCTTTTCACATCCTTTTCCCTTTTGCTTCCCAAACTGTAGATTATCTAGAACTGTGTTTTAGGGGAGCAGCAAAGGGGAAGAGAAGGGCCAGGATCTCCCTTAGGGGGTCAGCTGAGGAACGTTTTCCAGCTATATGTACATGTTTCTCTCAAGGGCTCCATTAGGGATGGTAGCCACCATCATTCCGAAAAAGTTACTGATTGGTTGTGATGTGTAATGAGAATCATTATTCTAAAGCAAGTACTAAGTGTCCTTCAGGTGTCAGTGGAGGGGGAAAAGTGTGAACTGAATGAGTAGCAGGATCGGGCATGTTGTGTGGGTATATTTGAAAGGGGATATTTATAAATCCGGGGCAACCAATAAGTCTTTTATTTACTTTGTGAATTTGTTCTATTGGTTTTTTTTCTTTTTAGTAAAAATGCATTTAAAAATGATAGTATTTTATGCAATGTTTCAACAATAATTAATTTTATGGAAATATTTTAAAAAATTGTATAACAATGTAAGAATTGATTTAAATTTATTAAGGAATATTAAGGAATTTGATATTTTGAAAAGTATCACTGGGTATGTGTGGTATGAAAGAATTAAAAGTCAGCTGGCACAGTACTTCTATCAGGAATTTAAATAGTGGAGGGTAAGAAAAGCATGGAGCATCTATACTAATGGAAAGATAACTGGGATAATATATGTGATATCTGAGTATCTTGATTATATACTTTGATTATAATCTGATTTGAGGCTATCAATTGCCTAAAAGAACTAAAACTTGTGGTAATTTTATAGTTCATACAAATAACATCTACCAATAGAATGTGGTGGGAAATTTTAATTTTATGCTTGTTATATCTAGTTAGTATGCTTATATTTTTACATTAACGTGAGACTGTAACATTTAATCCTAGTTTAGTCTGTATCTTAGTATAGCAAAATTAAATAACTTATTTAATACATATTGTACTAGTCTCCTGCTTTTCCCTCGTTTCTGGAGAGTCCTAATTCAGCAGTGAGTCAGCTTTTATTTAGGTAGCCTCTGGGAGACCTGAAATCAGTCCTAATCCAGCGCCCTTGTCCCTGCATTGAAAAGGCCTTTCCAGCAAGTTCATCTGCCTCACCAGTGAGACTTCCATTCCTGTGCCTTCCAGAGAAGTTCTTGCAGCTCAGGAGATTGGCAGGCTGTGTGGTTGGCTCTCAGTGAACCAAATCCGGAGTGCCTTCCTGGAGCTCTGCTGCAGCTCCCAGCGGGGACAATGGTCTTCCATGTCGGTTAACCACCCTGCCCTGCCCCGCTCCTGCTTGTAAGACTCTTCGCAAAGCGAAGCACTCTTGCTCACCATTGGCCGAGACAGTTGCTAGATTGTGAATGCAGGGAGGGCTGGGCGAGTGTGTGTGCAGAGATTCTAGTTGAGGGTAGTCACTGGGTTTCTTCTTGCGTGACTGTGTCCTGTCCATTGTGGTGCCAGGTTTATCAGGGATGGTGATAAGCTAAGGTGGTAATGTGACAAATCCGCTGAAAAGTTCCGTAGGTGGTTAAAATATATTCTGGAGCTCAGGAGGTAGTTGGGGCCCGAGGAGGAGTTTTGAGTCATTGTGAGGAGGTGCCCATTGAAAGCTGGGGTGAGTGAAGTCTTATGACAGTTTCCTGTCATACAGGCATAATTTTTGTGGGGCTTACATTTTGTTTTATTTTTGAATTACAGGAAGATAACAATTCTCTTTTCAGCAAAACCTGTTTTGTTAGGAGTATTGAGGATTATCTTTGCGTTTCATTAGAATAAGTAATGAATAATTTCCTGGATAGATTTGAAAATAGATGCTTTATATGTCAATTTCATGAACTTTTAGCAACGTCGATTCATTGTTTTGATTACAAACCCATATAAATGTACAGTATTTCTTTTGGATGGCTGTCTTGCTAGGTAGCTGTTAGCACATAGAAATGCTGTTTTTATACCAAGGAATTAAATAATTCATGCGTGAAGAATGTAGCCTTAATCAAATATAAGAAAAGCTTAAAATACTGAGATTCCTACTAGAATGATATCCTCTGGACGGTATGTTCACAGAATGTTCTGATGTAATTTATTTGTAAAACAGGATCTGTGATAAGCTCATGGTCACAAGTACAAATGATACAGATATGTGTAATCTTCCTTTATTAGTTTTCTGTTTCTGCATAACAAATAACCACCAACCGAGCAGCTTAAAACAACCCTCACTTACCGTCTCACATTTCTGTGGGTCAGAAGTCCGGCACAGTGTGGCTGGGTGCTCTGTTCAGGGTCTTACCAGGCTGGAATAATGGTGTCCCGTGGGGCTGCGATCTCACTCCAGGCTCACGGGTTGTTGGCAGGATTCCTTGCAGCTGTGGGACACACTTTTGTGTTTTTTTGTTGGCTGTTGGCCAGGGGTTGCTCTCAGTTCTGGAAGTGCATGCCGTGCCTTGGCATGTGCCCTCTGGGTGGTTTACACATGGTAGTTGCTGCTTCTTCAAGGTTGGCAAGAGCATGTCTCTCTCAACTTGACTTCCAATCTCTAACCTTTCAAGGGCTCACCTGATTGGGTCTGGCCCACCCAGACAATCCCTCTTTGATTCACTCGAAGTCAGTTGATTAGTATCCTACTCACAGGAGTGAATCCTATCATACTCAGAGGTCATGCCCACATTCAAGGGGAGATTATGCAGGGAGTGTATTCGAGGAGTAAGAATCTTGGGGGAGAATCTTAGAATTCTGCTGCCACGTCCAACTCGTAAACTGACTTGGTTCTCAAGTTGATCTTTGGAAGTTCAGAAAGTATTTCTCCAGTGAGCCTTATTTTATGAGGTAAAGTTGCCAGGGTGCCACCCCAGAAATTCAGTTTAATTCATATGTGAGCTAAATCAAGCCACTGAGTGTGTGTGTATACATATATGCACATGTTTTTTAAAGATAATTGTTAACATACAGAAAAATACAGTATAACATTTTTATATTTTTGATTTGGGTCACAGAAACACCTCTCTCCCTCTGTATCCTCACAGTGTAGACTGCTCGCCCTTTCTGGCTGTTGGGAGGGGAGACATGGGTGAAGACTGCACAGTTCATCCAGGCACAAGTTAGCGCCAGGAAGAGAGTCCTGGAATCAGAAGTCTACGGCAGCTTTACAGGGAGATGGGGACCTGGGTCTGATGGGGTCAGGGCTGGGAAGGTAGGAAGGGCTAGGGCCTTGAGGATTTGGGCACAGTTTTGGTGATCCCTTTCCTCTTCATTCTGCCATCTGAGGGGGATGGAGGAAAAGGAAAATGTGTGAGAGTAGATGAAAAAAGGTGAAAGTTGAGGATCAAAGATGGCAGGAAGGACTTTTTCTAGCCCTCTCCCTGCCCCCTACTGCGGCCCTTGTCAGCACCGGGAGCTGTTAGGGCTCACCGGGGCAGCACTGGGGCATGCGCAGGACAGAGCGAGGACAGAGCAGGAGAAATTCCTCAGCAGGGAGGCAGGCTCTCGGGTGTCTGGATGGCCTTTCGGTGGATGATTAAATCAGGATTGTCTAATTTTTTTCACAGATGTTCACAGAGCAGTTTGTTGAATTTGGTAGATACTCATTAATGGATGAACCTTGGAAGACTTAAAGCTGTCCATTGGAGTGACCAGTCCTTACGTTCTTTTGCTTTGTCTGTCTACTTGATGCCTAAAAGGGCAAGTTATGCATTTAAAGGACAGGCCAGAGGAGCAGAGCTCATGGAAACATGGGTTACAGAGCAGCTGCTGAAATACCTGACTTTATTTCTCTAACATTTCCTGTCAAACACAGACAAGAGTGACCTCTGCTCTAGATCCCCTAGGCCTGCCTTATTTCACATTTCTTTGTTTTGTCTTTAGGTTTGATGAGGCGGCACTCTCTATTCAGAAAGAAAAAAATATTTATAAGGAAATTGAGAATTATCCAACTTGTTATAAGGTATGCTTTTAAAGTGCTTATTTTGAGTTTTACAGTAGATAATTTTTCATATTGGTACAACTGTGTACCGAAGACTGGATTCCATGGATATTTGTATATTTTTTAAATAATACTTTATGGGCCTCTGTTTTTGGCCAAGGTGGAGTAAACCCACGATAGCCTATCTCTCCTGCTGATTACAACTAAAACTTCTGGACAAAATACAAAGCCGTTGCCCGGCGACTCTGAAAAGTCAGTGAAAGCAGGACTGGGGAGGGGGTGATACATGGAGAAGCTGCCAGCATGGGATTGGGTGTCCGGGGTTTTTCCCTCTTTTCTTTTTGAGGCACTGCCTTGAGCGAGGCCCTAGTCATGGAGTTGGGCAGCAGAGGCTCCAGTAGCTACAACTCCCGAAGAACCCATCTACCCCTCTTTCTAACCAGAGGGACTGGGGAAGCAGGCCCCTAGTTTTCCTCTCTTTTTTTCTGCTTGCCTTTGCTGTGAGGGTGAGCCCTAGTCGTGGAGCTACAGCTGTGATGGTGGCGCAGGCAGATAAAACACCAAAAGAAACCCAATCTCTTTGGTCAGAGGAACTGGAAAGATGAGCTGAGAGAGCAAGGAGGAAACCCCAGAAAGGAGAGCTGGGAAAGGGACTCCCCTGAGTGTGTGTTTGGGGAGGGGCGCACAAGTCGCAGGTTTTCTCTCCAGCTTTGCACGTGCGGGACAGACCCAGAGCAGCAGAGCATAGGCTTTGAGAACTGAAATAAGATTAAATCACTGTCCTGGGCACATGTGTGGGGCCGAGCAGAGGGGCTGAACTAAGACTAGAGCCACTGTCCACCATAGAGCAGACGGAACATGCAGTCTGAGCCCAACTGGGTGATCCACACTCTCCTGAGAATTAGAGGAGGGCCTCTAGCATAACCCTCCCAATGTCTAGGATACAATCCAAATTACTCAACATAGAAAGAACCAGGAAAATAGGACCAGTCTTGAAGAGAAAGGACAACTTTGCCAACCCAGAAATGACCCAGATGTTGGCGTTACCAGATCAGGACTTTGGAGCAGCTGTTAGAACTGCTCCCTGAGGTAAAGGTAAACACGAGTGAACAAAAGGATTGATTTTTTATTTATTTTTTAATTTTTTTTGGTGCAGAAGATTGGCCCTGAGCTAACATTTGTTGCCACTTTTCTTCTCTTTGCTTGAGGAAGATTGGCCCCGGGCTAACATCCGTGCCCATCTTTCTCTACTTTATGTGGGACGCTGCCACAGCATGGCTTGATGAGTGGTGTGTAGGTCCACACCTGGGATCCAAACCTGCGAACCCTGGGCCACTGAAGTGGAATGCGTGAGCATAACCGCTACTGGGCTGGCCCCTAGGACTGATTTTTTTTTATAGAATGTATTAAAATGAACTAAATGAGAATTTTCTTTTCTTTCTTTCTTTAGTTTTTTGAGGAAGATTGGCCCTGAGCTAACATCTGTTGCCAATCTTCCTCTTTTTCTTTTTTCTCCCCAAAACCCCAGTACATAGTTGTATATCCTAGTTGTAGGTCCTTCTGGTTCTTCTATGTGGGATGCCACGTCAGCATGGCTTGATGAGCGGTGAGTAGGTGCGAGCCCAGGATCCGAACCGGCGAACCCCGGGCCGCCAAAGCAGAACGCGTGAACTTAACCGCTGTGTCACCAGGCCGGCCCCTAAATGAGAATTTTAAAACTGAAAAAGCAATGTGTGAGATAAAGTACCAGATGGACTTTTAATCTGATGATGGAGAAAATGAAAGATTCAGTGAACTTAAAGGTAGATCAATAAAGGTTATCTGAAAAACAGAGATTAAAAAAATTGAAAAATGCCTTATGAAGAGCTGTTTTACCAATACGATCTTACCAGTCATATCTTGGATCTTATTAATGCTCTTGTTGGTCTATATGTACTATCATTGTTTCTGTTATGTACAGTTTTCATCCATTCATCTTTTTCCTTGTATCTCTTTAAAAATTCCAAAGTATAGTTGTAGAGCCACCAGTCCCCCTGCTTCTTTTTGCCTTTTTAAGATTAAACCTATATAGATATTTAGAAGAAATTTTCTGTAAAATGTGTGGCTGCTTTGTTCCGCAGTGCCTGGTCTTCAGACTGCAGTGGTGGGACCACCTGGGAGCTTGTTGGAAACAGCAGACTCGCAGGCTTGCCTCGGGCCTTCTAAATCAGTTTTCATTTTAACAGGAGCCCTGGGTGGTTCTTGTGCACGTTACTGTTCTGGGATATTTTCCCTCAGATATCCTGTGGAAGTTACTACAGAATTTATAAATCTCTCTCTATGTAAACCAAGACTCTGAAATTCCAATTCCAGATGTCGGGAAATTAACTTTATTAAATAGATACAAATTTGGACTATAATCACCTTTTTTGTTTTAGAAAACAATTGCTCAAGTCTTAGTTCATCTCCACAGAAATGACTACGTGGCTGCAGAACGATGTGTCAGGGAGAGCTACAGGTAGGACACTGACTTGACGCGCAGTTTTAACATTTCTGTTTCTTAGTCTAAGATTACTACTTAGACAGATATTCTTGGCCATGAAACTTTTTTTTTGAAAAGTAAATTTCTTAGTGATAGGAGTTCTTGACTACCATTTCAGCTTTTACAGCAGGATTTTTACAAGTTGTGTTCTTTCCTGTGTTTTTCTCCTGGGCGCTTCCATGGGAGTGAATGACTTGAATGGTTTCTTGTATTTGCCTTCTAAGAAAAAAAGAAAAGTACAGGAAAGTTCTCGGATTGTATGTTACAGAAGATCAGAATAAGGGATTTTCTTGTTAGAGAGTTTAAAATGGCAGTGCCTGTCGGGGCCTGTTGACGTTCGGGCTGCATAGTTCTGTGGTTGGGCCTGTCCTGTGCGTTGTCGGATGTTGGCCACGTCCCTGGCTTCTGCCCACTGGTGACAATTAGACGTCTCCAGTTGGTGCCAGACATTTGCTGCGGGCAGAGTCATCTCTGGTTGCACTGCATTCTGTTAAGGAACAGGGGGAGACATGTGACTTGTGTTTGCTGTAGCATTCCAGGGTTCAATGGGAGTGAAGATTGTGCTGCGCTGGAACAGCTTCTCGAAGGATATGATCAGCAAGACCAAGATCAAGTGTCAGAGGTCTGCAACTCACCGCTTTTCAAGTACATGGACAATGACGTAAGTGGCCTTTGTTTAGCTTTCTTTTTTCCTCTTGAAAGGAAGAGACTTCTAGTGAGATTATCTTTCTCCCATGGACTTGTGAGCTTTTATTCCTCAATTTCTCACCTCAAGCTACTTCTCAAAAAGAAACTTGGAATTTGCACTGAATTTCACTTTAAGATTGTTTGGATGTCAACCATGTGGGTTTACAGCCATTTGTTTATCCATCTAACTGTTGAGCACGTGTATTTTTTAATTCAGCCCCGTTTTTCAGCTTCTCCTTCCATCTGTCAGCCTCTATAGATTGCTTAGTTTATGAAGTTTCTTTCAGGTTCACTGTCTGAAAGAGGCCCATCATGTAATGGCCTTTGTAACTCAGTAGACTGGAATCCCACTTCTAGCTTACACTCTTCATTTACTCCACAGATCTTTATCTCACAGGTACTACAAATGTTACTTAACTTAGTATGTCCCGATGATCGCAAATTCCTAAGTGCGGAGTATAATTGATATTTTTACCAGTTGTGTACCTGTCACGTCATGGTCATGAGCCATCTGACGGCAGAGCAATGTTGAGTTTTGTTGTGGTTGTTTTTCCGTCTACTGGCAGTATTGGTTTTCAGAAGGCAGAGAGCTAGGATCTGTCTTTTATAGATAACTATTGTTGAGACACCACATGTCAAGATTCTCGTTACTCAGCTTTTGAGAACATGCTTTGTCATTGACAGTATGCTAAACTGGGCCTGAGTTTGGTGGTTCCGGGAGGGGGAATCAAGAAGAAATCTACAGCAACACCACAGGCCAAGCCTGAAGGCACCGCTGCTTCCCCTGCCGAAGAAGAGGAGGACGAATATGCAGGAGGGCTGTGCTAGGAGCTTGCTTAGCAGAAAGGAAGAGAACAGTCCTGAGACACCATTTGCGGACTTGGAATGTGTCTAAGGGTATCCAGACTTCATTGCAGGCCTGGTTTTGAATGCCAACAAAGACTAATTTTTAGTTACCATTTCCCCAAATCATCCATTGTACCCATTATCTGTGAAGCATTTTTTTTTCTTTCCATGATAAGAGCTTTTGTAAGACACCAGCAAGAATTAACAGAAAAATGTACTGTGACGTTTTAATACAGTTGATTTTAAAATTTGCAAGCCAAATTCTAGACAAATTACGTTCTAAACAAAAGGGACAATAGGCATAGATATTCTTTTCTCTTGGGTTCTTGTAATTTATCGTGCAAGGATTTTCTTTGCATTTTATTTAATAATTGCTGCTAAAAGTGAAGTTTACTGGTTAAACAAAATAGTATTACTTTTAAATATTTTTTGGTTTTGCAAAGGAAATTTATCCCCCATGATATTAGATACCTTTAAATTAGTAAATCTATTCAGAGAAGAGATTGGGACAGGAAGCTATTTTGAGTCTTACAATATTATTTAGCCCAGTAAGGTTTGAAAATTTTGAAGGTAGCATATTAAAGTCATTCTATAAATGTCTTCAGTTCTCTCTGAAATATGGATATTTTTTCCACGTAAAAAACACACAGTGACTGTCTCTACACCTACTTGGTTCTTGACTAAATGGGCACTAGTGAGCACCTTTTTTATGCATTCTAACAGACGTAATGTTTCCATCAATCTAGTATATGTATGCATTTCTTCCCTCCAAAGCAATTTCTGATTCATTTAGAGTTGTAACAGGACAGTAGCTTGACATGGGAAATGCTATCAGGGCAGATGGTTTTTGAAGTACTTATATTTAAAGTACTGTACTGCCAATGTGTTAATCCTTTATAGGTATTTCCTAAAAGGGTATTTTTGAAGCATTCCTTTTTCATGCTGTGTGGCTTAGACTCATCTCCCAATCTGTTCACTGGAAGGAGGCTCCAGAGCCTAGCAGTGAGCATTCTGTGGGCAGGTGCTGCCCAGAGTGGTTTTCTGTTTGTCTGCCCTCCGTCTCTTCAGAGTCCTGCTTCGTGGGAGTACAGTGTGCTTAGTTCTGCTAGGCTTCCTGAAAACACTAAGGTAGGCGAGCACAGTGGGTTTAGTCCCAGCTGACTCCGTGGGAGAGCTTAGATGGAATACTATCCTTGTTTGGCAGGTGGGCTTGGGGGGTGGATGTTAGGATAGGAATCTTTATTGAAGGTTTGATTCAAAACACTAATCAATGTAATGTTTTGATTCCTTAAGTTACTTGCATGGTTCTGCAGGTGGCAGCTCATTTTCAATAACTATGCAGATCAATTTTGAACAGTCTCAATAAAGCTGTATTTAGGCATTTGTATTTAATGACATGTTAATATTTAAAGATCCCATCATTGCTGCTCTGCCCTGTAGAGCCAGTCAGAAACTTCAGCACTCTTATGTTAATGCTTATTTGAGTTAATTAACAGTCTGTTTAAATAGATTTGGCAGCACTTAAAAGATATTTTAGACCCTTTGTTTAGACCATATTATAGACCATCCATTATGGTCCATATTATCCATGACAGCCTTGGAAAAAATCTTTTACTCTTTTCATACATATTAAACAAACATGAGGAATGAATCAGTGCACTCTGTAGCAGCAATGCAACTTGTCTTAAGTAAAGGCTTTGTACAAGTGCAGCCTCTCTCCACCCTCCCTGCCCACATGTGAGAACTGACGTGCAGGACTTGGGGATACTTGGGGTCTCAGGGTTATTCTATGTGGTGTCTGATAAAGAGCATTTGTTCCACCTTTATGCGTTTTATTTTTCCGCTTAGTAAGTCTATCCTGAGGGTATAGTCAGAAGTGGAAAACTTGGTGTTTACAACAGGAAAAATTATTTTCCAGAACTCATGTGATCACTTTTACCAAAATGGAAGTCTGCATGAATATGCTCAGAATCTAATAGTCAATATTCTCTTATATCATAAGTGAAGTCAGTCTACAAAATATATTTAATATATTGAATTTATTTGTACATATGCAGAGTATGGTATTTGTGTATGGAATCTGGGCTTTATTCCTATTTTTTCCAGCTCTTTGATGAGTAGAATATTAAATGTGTTGTTATGGAAATGTAGACTGTTGCTTCTCTAGGAAGATAATTATGAAAATAAAATCTGAAACTCTGTATGATGATTATTCTTATTATTCATTTTGCTTTGCTTGCTTATTTCCTCTTTTCCAAGGAGACATTCTCCTTTATTTATATGATTCCAGCTATATTACACAAGAACAATATTTTGTTCTCAAGTTGTATATTCTGCTTTTTGGGAGTCAGTTAAATACCTTTGGGAGTTACTGTAAACTATTTAAACTTTTTAAGATAGTGATCATCCAGTTACTTTAATACTGTACCACCTGCTACTCAGTGAGATGGAAGACTAATATATCTTCCAGGAGAATAATTCTTTCATTGAGGTAAGAGAAGTAAAAATACACGATTAGGAGGCTAAGAAAACAAATGTGAAATGGCATTGTTTTGCATTTATACATTGGTAGCACCTTAATCACCAGTGGATTTACTTACAATTAATCAGACATTTATTGAGTTCCCACTATGTGATATTGTCCCTGTCTTTCATAGAATGGGAATTGATAATATGATTTGATACCAGGACTTAGTAGAAGTTGGAGTGCGAGACAGAAATAATGGAGAGAGAAGAGTGGCTCTGGGATGTAATGCGATTTTGCATTTCTTTCTGGACACCTTGGAGTGTTCTGAGTGTGCTTTGTGGTCACCCGGTATTTGTAGCATTAAGGTGAGACAGGGAGGAAAGATGAACAAAATCTATCTCCCTCTATCCCTCCCCCATTGTTTTCATTAGGCCAGTACCAATAAAAGGCTGAATGTTGACCTTAATTTGATGTTAAATTTAAGGGTATTAAAAATATCTTGAGGGGGCCGGCCCTGTGGTGTAGTGGTTAAGTGTGCGTGCTCTGCTGCTGGCGGCCTGGGTTCGGACCCCAGGCGCGCACCAATGTACCACTTGTCAGGCCATGCTGTGGTGGCATCTCATATAAAGTAGAGGAGGATGGGCACGGATGTGAGCTCAGGGCCAGTCCTCCTCAGCAAAAAGAGGAGGATTGGTATGGATGTTAGCTCAGGGCTGATCTTCCTCACACACAGAAAAAATCTTGGAAGAAGAAAGGACTGAGTCAAACATCAGTTTGAAAAAGGAGAGCAAACCTCTTTCATTTAAGTGGTTTTTTAAATAGCCAAGAGACTTTCGTGAGTAGAAAGAACTTAACGTGGCTTTTAATTAACTTCCAAGGGCACTGAATAAAATTCCCCTAAATAATTAGCCCCAATAACAAACTAGGTTAATTAAATCCCCTTAGAGTTTAAGGCTTAAATATTTTAAATTATATTGATAAATTTTTTTATATCTGATTCTCCCAAAGCTTTTAAGGGCCTAATTAGGGCAGTCTTAAAACTTTCAGAATTTTTGTAAGCACTCAATTAACTTATAAAGCTAATAAATCCAACTTGCACATATAGTAAATTGTTTCCAAATTTTCATATTACTGTTTGTGAACTTAAATGCTCAATCACAAACTTTTAAAATGAAAATCAAAAAGGTAATATGTCAGATCCTGTTAAATGTTTCAAAACCTTAAATATAAACATACACGAGGGGCCAGCCCCATGGCTTAGTGGTTAAGTGCCAGCACTCCGATACTGGCGGCCTGGGTTCGGATCCCAGGCACGCACCGATGAACTGCTTGTCCGGCCATGCTGAGGCAGCGTCCCACATAAAACCGCAACTAGAAGGATGTGCAACTGTGACATACAACTATCTACTGGGGCCTTGGGGGGGGGGTGCAAAAAAAAGGAGGAGGATTGGCATGGATGTTAGCTCAGGGCTGATCTTCCTCACACAAAAAAAAAAAAAATACACGGGTTATCACAATGATTATAAAACTTATTCCTAACCTAACAAGAAAGTATTACCACCATGGGGTTGACTGACTTTATCAGTATGAAATACTTATTTCTACACCTACCCAGGGTAAGTAATCTACCCAATTAAGGGGAACAAATTTGCCATCTTGGGTGGGCCAACATGCTGTTAGGACCACAATACACTTGGAGGTCAGAGACTAGGATGTGGGTGTTGGGTGCTAAATACTTGCAGGATGATTCTGCACATACCACAGATGAGCAAACCTGGCCTTTTCTTTGGTTCTTGCGCTATGTCAATAGAGGACACCAAGCCTGTGCCTTTTAGCTCAGGGTTTAGTTTCACAATGCAGTGGACCACACACCCTCTGGGCATTTCTAAAACTTCATCCTATGCAGGTTTTTTTTTTTTTAATAACCTCACAATGTTTTATAGTGTGATTTGGATAGAATTCTGCACCTATAACTAGTTTGAAGATCATTTCTTTCCCTACTTGATTTGGATTCTAGTGTTATCTTTATTGTCTAGTTGGTTTCTGCGTCTTTTCATATTTCATGGACTTTAGGCCATGATTCAGTGGTCTTTATATTGATAAACTCATAATTCAGTAGGCATTATTTTGATAAACAACTACCACCCCAGATAATGTGGTCTGGATCAGAGGGGATTAGTCAGGAAGGGCCAAGTTATGCTGTAGTAACAACCTCAGAATCTCCAGAGAAAACAGAAACAAGGGCTCATTTTCGTTCATGCTCCACGTGCGTCACAGGTCAGCTGGGGGCCCTGCTTCATGTCTTCCACTCTTACGGCAGGACAAGGGAGCATTACGGGTCACAGAGGCAGGGGAAAGGGAACTCAAGAGAGGGTCCCACAGCAATAAGTGGTCCATCCCAGAAGTGACGCACTTGACTTCCACCCACCTAATCAGAAAGGGGCCTGACCTTCAGTCTCTTGTGGGCCTATAAGGAGAGGAGAATACGCCACGCTGGGGGCTACCGAATCACTATGCTTTAAAGCATTTGCAGTCCATTGTAAATTAATTTTTGTTAAATTTCCATAGGATTTTAATAGAAAACACCAAGTCCCACCCGAAGGCAGTCACTGTTATCTTGCTACACGTACAGAGTGATTTCACGGACATAGTCATGTTTATCCCTGACAGTCATTCTCTGTTACCCCCGTTTTCAGGTGAGTAAGCAAACCCAGAGGAATTAATTTACTCCGAGTGTTTTTGGTGTTAAGATATCTAATGGAGATGTTACTTGATCTGATTTCTTGGTTTTCTATCATTCATTTGAAAAGGAAAACAACTTCAGCAGGCCAGCTTGGAGTTTGCGCTTTTAATTTAATTTTTAAATAGGAATGTGAATAATCGGTTGTTAAAAACATTATGACCTGGCTCAGACTGCCTGGTATTCTAGCTTAGATGTGTGTGACTTTTCCCCAGGGTGATCTCTGAGATCTGAGATGCTCTGCACTAGCTGACGCCTGAGCATCGGGGAGATCTAAGGCAGGGTCTCGGTTGTCTTGACGATTTCTTCCTCCCTTTGCTTGCTTTATGTTTCATATTCCAATTTTTTCTGTCAAATCTCAACATTTGTCGTAATTCCCATCTAAGTACTATTTGACAGTGCCTTCTTCATGGTTGGTGGAAGGGTAAAGTGGGTGATGGAGGATGGAGAACCTGACACACTCTTCCCTGTGGGGGTTGGAGGGTGAAATGGTTGCTGGAAAATGACAGTGCCACTGCATGGAGGTTTGGTGGACAATGGAGAGTATGATGCTTTCCCCTTGGGTGGGTGGGAGGCAGAGGGGGGTTGAAGGAAAATGGAGATTATGACCAAGATTATGAGCAAGTTCTGGGGGAGACCCAGGCCCTGAGCGAGGGCAGTCCCGGCTCAGCTCCTCCAGGCTAACGACAGGGCCTCGGACTGGGGGCGGGGGAGGCGTCAGGAGAACAGGCCGCGCGGTGGAGTCAGCGGCAGGCCTGGTGGGGAGCTGCAGAGCTTCCACCAGACAGGCGGGGACTCCTGAAGCTTTTGCCTTCCAGGCAACGCTCTCACGCCGCGGGGTGACGTGCGCGCACGCGCCCACCCCAGGAGGACATGCAGCTGGGGCTGCGTGTGGGTCCCTCCCCGAGAGGTGGGCGAGCTCACGATGGCCGTGAGGCTGAATAACTGTGTGGAAAGGCGGAAGCGTCCCGGGTGGCTGTGATGTGCAGCCCGGCGTCACGTCACGGCCCCGCCACACGAGTCCTCACGGTCTCCAGCTGGTCGTCCCGACAGGGCCGGCGTCTAATCCGACCCTGAGAGCAGAGCCTGAGGGGGCAGGGGTCCCCCCGCTCTGAGAAGGTGTCGGGAACCACAGGGAGGGGACGCTGAGCACAGCCCGCCCGCCCCGTCAACACCTCACCCTGGTGACTCCTC